TATTTCGGATTCGGGTCCGACTTCGCATCGTTCGGGGTGGGATGTGCCCTCCAAAAACCTAGACGGGTATCTTGTGTTCTTCGGGGATACTATTGTGACCCGCCTTGTCTTCGAGGTTGCCTCCAACCCCGTCGTAACATGTCTGGGTATCTGACGTGTGCACAATCCACCGTCATACCCCAGTTTGAAGCTTGGACACGGCGACAGTAACACCAGGCACCCTTTAGCACAAGATAGCGAACGACAGCAATCTGAAGAAACCAGAAGCTGGAACCGAGCTTGGCAAGCTCCGAAGGCAACATTGCCTCGTAAGCAAGGGCACGGCAGGTACCTCATAATTGCACACTCTCGGAAACATGACCGTGGCTTCTATAGTTGTGGGGACAGGATGGTGGTAATTAGGGGACCGAGCTGCGCAGGGAAATAGAGTATCTAATATACGTAGGGCACGTACTAAAAATATGAGGTAGGCATGGCAAATCCATGGTGGCGTCTGCTTGGGGTAGGGGGAGGTAAGTATCAAGCGAATAACACTCTCTCGGGAGTATTTACGCCTACCAAGATCCCTTTCCTACTTGACTACCTTCATGTAGGTACCTATCATTACAAGTTAGTTGGTAGTGGTATCATCTGCTATCGTAGTATCTATTTACCTCATCGAGCTACCACACACACCACTTACATATGCACGTATTCATGCAACGTCGCCCATACTCAGCACCTATGAAATCCACCGCCTGTAAAACAACCCAACCCAGTAAGAGGGGAACCTGGTCAAGTACGGTTCACAGGAATGAGGCTTAGCAACTGTTTCATGAAAAGCACAAAGAATCGTACGGACTGCAAGCTGTTCTAGCATCGGCACAGACCTTGTAAATTTGCTTGAGGCTTGGATGTTCGGGCTCCTGTTTGGATTTCTAGTATGGAACTCAACGCCGACTGCAAGAGCAATTGCGTCCCAGAACTTCAAGACCATCGACTCATCGACCTATTAGAACTTTATACCACCGTTGTGATACGCGGTTGGTACGCCTACATGATACTTAAGTCTCCGTAGATATATCATTGGACAAATGGGCGATCTACACATGCAAGATGCAAGCTCTTAGGCCGCACTGTTAGTCTTTACATATGTCATCCCCGAATCCAGTCCGTACCGCATAGAGAACTTGCACGATATATACTTTTCCTATCTGTTGTATCGACCTCTGGTATCATCGTTCATCAAAGTGTGGTACATGGGGGCCACCATCCACGAGCACCCTACTTTTGTAGTGCAGGGAAGTGTTTCCGGGGAACTTTCGATCGAAGTTTTCACCTCGCACACCAGTCCGCAAATGCGGTTATTGCCGTGCTGACGTGATCTTGGCAAAACTAAACAGACTAAACTATATAGAGTGATAGTTTTCTTAGCGAGACCACAATTGCTTGGAGAAGCGATCTAGCTTGGGTCCGTCGATACTAATCAGGTTAGTTACATGTATTGGTTTCCTAGGCCCAGAATACCTGGTCCTAGAATCGTCTAGGTCAGAGTGATCAGTGGAGAGAAACGTTGACTTTTAATGTGCTCTATGCCCTGTGCCGCAGAAGGTGGTGCATGGTGCATCCAGGCCCGGACGGATCTGATTGTTAAACGTACTCGTAGCTCTGCTCGTAGTAGGTATTACTCCTCATCCACCCTAACTTTCTCGACCACCTTTATTCACTCGACCACCACACCTTCTTTTACATATGCGCGTCCTGAATGAATAATTCTACAGCTACGACTTATTTCTCAATTTGACGGTTGCACTGTTGCATTTGAGACCCACACTCCCAAGTATAAATACCTTCGTACAGCTGCTGCCGTGTAGCCTATTTTCCCGCCGACTAGAGATTGGCTTAGACAGGCGACGGACAGAGACGGACAGTCAGACTAGGCCACCCCCAGGTCTCACTGAGCGCCCTAGAGACGCTACCGCGCCTGAAAAGAGAACGGAGATCCCACTCACGCACACCCTACACGCATACGCATCCACGCACACATACAGTACTCGTACCCGTAGACGCCAGACCACGGTCCTATAGCCGACTGAATACCTTCCTCCCCTTTTATCCAATCCCTTACCCCCCATCCTAAGCTCTAACTTGCAAACATTTCCACGCCTCTTACTCTGCTTCGTATTATCTCTTTTTCCATATTCTGTCTCGCTCTTTTCTTCATACCTACCGGACTTTGGGAAAATATCGGCTACTTCGAGCCTACACGATGGACTTCTCCTACTACGGTGGGGCTCAGCCCTACCAGTTTATTAACATTCCTCCGCTAACGCCGTCGCATTCCGCCTCGACGACATCTGAAGAGTTCGGTCACAATAATCATAGCCAGTCTCCCAATGTTCGTTGCCAACTCTATTTTCCTAGCTTCCCTAGTCCATATGCTTTCCTAAGTATGTCGAGAGATTAGTCGGCTAATCTTCTCTTCCACATAGGAGATATACGAGCCCTTTCCGAACCATGAGCAGTTCTCACATTCCTACGATCAGTACGGACAGTTCAACCAACCCAATCAAACGTTTCCCGCCCCGCCGACGCCACCAACCCTCCCGCTGCATGGCCAAAACGGCTCGGGGATCAATGGAGTCCACTCAGGGAAGAGCAGTCAGACGGATATACTACCTTTAACGAAACTGGACCCGGACGCAAATCGGCAGACAGGCGGCTCAAACTCCGAGGAGGATGACCTGAGTCCTGCTCAATCACGCCGCAAGGCGCAAAACAGAGCTGCGTGAGTGAAACCAGCGTCCCCATAGCGGATTATAGCCTCTCTAGACAGACGTGCTAACCTAGGTCCACCTGTCGTGATATAGTCAACGTGCGTTTCGTGAGCGCAAAGAAAGACATGTTAAAGACCTCGAGGCAAAGCTCGCCAGCCTAGAAGCGGCCCAATCCCAGACGGCAACGGAAAATGAGAAATTGAAACGCGAAATGCAGAAAATCAGCACCGAAAACGAAATATTGCGCGCGACATCTAGCGTCCAGGCGCAACAAAATAATGCCATGTCGCCCGTGGCGGGTATCACCACAGGCCCTATGCATTACAATCCAACCGATTTCTATTCGGATCTGCTCCAAAACCATGCCAATAAGACGCCCAGTCACCGCATCGTCGAATCCGGAGGAGAACGCCTACTGGCAGCTGGCGCGACGTGGGACTATATCATCAGCCATGACTTATTCAAAAAGGGCCTTATCGACGTTGCCGACGTGAGCGAACGCCTTAAGTATCAGGCAAAATGCGACGGGCAAGGGCCCGTCTTCGAAGAGCGTGCGGTACTAAAGGCCATTATGGATAGCGTGGCAAGCGGCAGCGACGAACTTTTATGAGCCGACCCGACCGAATACGAAGGCTAGATGACCACATGAGTAATGATTTCTGTGCGACACTCATATGGCCGGCGATTTAGTGTGAAATGTGAAACCCGCACTTGTTGCGATTTGGGTCCCGGCTTCCCTTCGTGGAAGGCAGAGAGGCTACGAGAGCAATGTCTATAGGACAAAGCAGGTACGGAACAAGGCATATACGGAGTTTCCGGGCGCAGACGCGAGATCCAATGGTTTGATATGTTTATGAGACTATTTGTCTCAACATGCTCTGATGGATGTTTACAGTATATGAGGAATATATACAAGCGAATGCCAGGGGAAGTGGTTTTGTGGTTTTGAAAGTTACACTCACTGGCTGATGTTGTTCTTCAGAATCAAATTTGTTATTGTTCCCGTACTGGATATCATAAAGCAGCGAAAGTCCAGTCGTGGGTTGGGATACCCAGGGATACGTTATTTATTCAGTATACCTGGGAAGCAACCAACCATGTTTATTGTAGCGAAAGTCGAAGATCTGAAGGAACTTGTTACCCACCATGATTATCATTCCGGAGAGAGTAGCTCGGAGCACGGAGTTGAGTCAACCGACTGTACTATCCACGGGGGCCGCCTTCGGCTGGATCCAGGCGTCACAAACACACTAATCACACGGAGAAACTTTAGTTATAAAAACTTACGTACCGATAAAATCGACGCATCCTGTTATATCTGCCTACGATGCGCCGGGTCCATCTCCGACTATCGTAGATATCGACCTGCTCGACCTGCTCTACCTCGAACCTTCTTACCTTATGCTGTTCTACTCTCCACAGAGATTCAGGTTGCACAACTTACAAATGATACTTGTACATACTTTATACTTGATTCCGATGATGTTGAGCCTGTCTATCCACTGTAGTTTCGTAGTCCTGTACATATTGTATTATAGTAATCACTTTAAAACCAAACTACCAACTATTTACTATGTAACGAGTATGTATATAGGTTAGGTTACGTGGATAGGGTGTCCGACTTTAATAGTTTCTGTTAATACTTGTACCCGTGTGTTTGGAAAACGTGGATCTCGATCGATGATCGGTCTAGTCTACCCCGGATGAGCCGGCAAGGTTGTTGCCCTGCTTTTCTACTCTACTCGTACTAGCTTTTTCTTCGGAGAATTTACGGTATGAAGGTGTATAGGTAGATATCACGTGATCAATAGATTTATTATAGGTACAGGTATTCGTAAAATGATTTGATTGTTGATATGTCGGCCTGCCTTTGTTACTGGTACGTTATGTTAACATCTCATTATATTGACTTTACCTACTTAGTTTCCCCTTTACTCGTACCTACTCGTACTACCTAGGCCAGAACCCAGACCACCTGCAGATAGACACATATAATACGTAGTTGTAGTTGATACCAGCTTCAAAGTTCAAACCCCCCATGAAAGGCAAGCAAGTATAAGCCACCTCCACCTCCGCCTCCATCCACCTCCACCTACAGCCTCCGTGTAGTTTACGAGTACGTGCTTGCAACCCCCACCGGAATAACCCCGGAACAACCCCCACCCCCTTCCCCCTCTTTACCCACCCTAGCGTTTTGACTATAGCCCCCATTACACAATTACTCCTTCAACAAATAACCAGGCAGCACTGGTAGCTCAGGGGTAGAGCAATCGGCTGCAGCTGTTCAAATTCCAAAATAAGGACAAAGCTTCCGATAGGTCCCTGGTTCAAATCCGGGTCAGTGCTTATCAAGTCATTGAACTGCTTCTTCCCCCTTCTTTTTTTTTTATATTTTTCTCTCCTTACTTACAAGTTTGTTTTTAACTGTGTTTTTTGTCCAAGTTTTTATATATCCCTCGTTTTGTTTATTTGTTTATATTGTCTAATTTTAATTTGATTTTCCTTTTATAATGCGACATGTTAACGACTTATATCTAAAAAGAATTGTCAACTTTTTTTTTTTTAATCTATGTCGCTCACCCGTCTGTAAAATAAATAAATACTGCAAACGCAATAGAAACACCAACGACACACATACACACACACACACACACACATACATATAACACACCCTCCTCCCGATCTAAATCATCTTTTTCCTTTAAAAAAAAACCGCCCGGGACTACACCCAACTTAACTTAAAACATTACGCGACTGCGCCCTATAGGAATAAAGGAAGGAAGGAAGGAATTGGTAGGTAGTATTTCGTCCACCGCGAATTAAACCAAACCAAATCCCCCTCCCCTCTCGCTCTCTTTTCCCCTCATCTCAGCTGAGCTTATATATCTTGGCGACTCGCGACCGAGACAACGAAATATACCCTTGAAGGTCCGACTTGGTAAGGTAGGTAGTCATCATGTAATAGCTAGGTTAGGTAGGTAGGTATGTAAGAGGAGAGAGAAAGCTGTGTAAGGAAAACAAATGGTATGAGATAGATGGTGTTTCATAACTGTTCATGGCTGGGAGAGACGAAAACCCAAGGTTTGGATTAAGTTACTGAAAATAGGTTAATCCGGTTAGGATTCAAGAGATACATCTTCGCATATCATGTCAATGGGCATAGCAGATTTGGAAGTGTTTCTTTTTTTTTTTTCAAGGATCCCTATTATATCCTCATCTCTCTACCTCTCAAAACGCCCACCTTACCCCCAGATCTTGTGTTTTTATTACATCAATTAAGATTATGCAGCTCGCTCGCTTCAAGATATATATATACTGCGCCACCGCCGAGCATAAGAAGAGACTGCTAGACTGTGGAGGATTATACCTATGCGTGGCCCATGTTTCTATACCATGCCACACAATTCATAATCATAAACGTTTCAAGTTCCTCCAGGACCTTCAACCCTCGAATCCACGTTATTTCGTAAATTGCTTGCCGTTCTGGCGAGTACCAGCGTCCCCAAAACCGTTGTTCCTCATGACCGGTTATGATGTGGAAAACGAGAAAGACCTTGGCCCTCCCTTGAAGAAATACAAACCAAAGTTGGCATCTACTTGGTCTTCTTATTGACCATGGGGTCCGTGTGTTCTGCCACGGGAACGTAAGGATGTTTAATCGTCAAGCACCAAATATCGAGATAGTCGCAGATGGTGACGATGACATCGACGACGAACGAGCCGTAGACGCCAATCGCCATACCGAGCATGGAGAACATAAAGGCGACCTGGTAGACATCGTGGCCTAGGACACTGGGCCAGCCCGAAGCCCATCCGAAGTTCTCCTTGAGCACAGGTCCGAGTGAATCGGCTATACCCCAGGTAAGAGGAAGGGTGAGGACGTTCCAGTAGGGGAACGGAAGCTTGACAAGATGCGCCGTGATCATTTGCCCCACGCTGTACGCGTTCACAACACCAGCAAATATGGCAAAGGGTACGAGGTGCTGAAGCCGGATGAGCGGCTGCAGATAGAGGTAGGCAGCCAAAAGGGCCCAGGTGGTAAAGAATGGGGCTAGGCCAAGTAGGGCACCACGGCTACGGTCGCCCTGAGCGCGACGGGCCCTGATGACATTGCGCGCACTCTCCACAATGTTGAACACCATTACTACGACACCCTGTACCATGTACCATTGCGTGAACGATAGCTCATAGACCGAGTCCGGTATTCCGATGGTTTTGGGTACCCCGATAGTACTCATCATGGACTGTTGCCAGAAGGATGCGCCACCCTTGTAGCCGGTCAAGGCGTAGACGAACACGAGGACGAGAATACCTTCGACTGGGCCGTTTACTATTCCGAGCGTGAGTGATTTCGTGTGGTATTCCTCCCAGGTTTGGACGTAGAATGTGCAGAGCGCTAGAAAGACGTCAGGAAATGCATATTTCAAGTGCCCCCCAGAAGGAAGGCCGAGGGCGAAAGGGCGGCATACAAGCGAAAAGGGTTGCGACTGTGTACCAGCTTTGCCCCATATTCTGGGACGCAGCAAATATGAGACACTCGAGCGAGGTGTTCAGCGCGTCGACGCCATGGTCAAACAGTTCGCCAAGAGGTCCGCTCTGTCGAGTTCGTCTTCTGTATATTCCGACCCATAAATCAGTACGGAGACTACGGGGCGTAAAGGGACGGGGCAGGCAACGTACGCTTGGCTGCCATCGACTGCATCAAAAGTCTGATACAAGAACAGACCAACGGCCCACGAATAATAGACCCACGATGGGCAATCTTGGTCGAGAGTAGGGTTATACCAAAGCAATGTGAAGAAGTTGGCGACAACAAACATGAAGCCCGTCAATGTGATCAAGTTTGGGGCCATCCACATGGGAAAGCACTTGATGACGACATTGGTGTAAAAGGGCTTGAGGATGTATTTCGAAGTCAACGAGTGGTCGGCGCTATTGTACTTGTACAGCTTCAAGTTTGGTAGGTACTCTTGCCGAACGTACACCATCTTGAATAGTATTTATCGCAGAATCCTGCGACTTGTGCGTTCGAGGGTTTGCGATGACAGTTTTTGACTCGGAATCAACTCGACGGGATGTCCACTCGATGACGGTCCAGAGTATCCTGTCGGTGAGTTGACCAAATAGGTACTGCCTGATAGATGTCGCACAGGCAGACACGTGTTCGTGCAGGACACTTTCCTCGGCGTTTGGTACAGCGAAAATCCAAGAACAACCGCGGATGTTGCTAGGAGCGCATCGCTAGATTCGGTGGAATGTCATCTAAATAAAAGAATCGGAATTGTACAAGGAGATGGACGGGGACTAAAAGATTAGGTTCGTTTTAGTTTGGTCTTTCTTTTCTTTTACTTTCTTTCGTCGATCGGGCTTTAACAGCCCACCAATTCCATCGAGGAGAAACGTCATTTAAGTGGGCCGTCGCGTCGGATACCGCGTTGGAAGCTTGTAGGTAGACTTGTACAGACACTTGTAGTCCACAAAACTCTCCAAAGAACAGATGATGTACCCAGCAGGGTCTGGAATTGAGCCAAGGACCCCTACTCGTAATTTAAACCTTTTAATGCGCCAGGTGAGCCAATCGGTCGGGTCGGACTGAGTGAATGTTGCTCTTCAACCCCCCAGGCTGTTGATTGAGAATGCAGAAGGAAATGGGTTGATACATTCCTACAAAGGTTGAAGATATTAACCTAGATTAGATACAAAACTACTTCCCAGAGCACGAGCAATCCCGCGATTCTACCTACTACTCGTACTGTGCCTCGTTTACGTATGCTTTCTACACAGTGGTCTACATAACGTAGCCAAACCACTGCACTGCAGCATTACAAGAAGACCGAAGCTCCCAATCGTGGACTACTAGGTAAATTAGGTCAACTTATTGCCAGTTCAATGGGCCATTCTTTTTTGGTGAATGGACTTGCAAAGCGTATGAAATGCCGATACCAACCCGACGTTTCTAATATGCACATGTCCTCGAAATCGAAAAACGACTCTCGCTAGCCAGACTTTTGCAGAACGACAACGCCCTTCAATACAGAACCCCATCACCATCACCATTACGCAACCGACGCCACAACCACGGCCGCCACGTCCTCTTCCTCGCTGCGCACAATGATCTTTGTCGTGACCCCAGATTTGGAAGAATACGCCATTCTCACGTTCGCAACAACCCTGCCACCGTTGACAGTCTTGCCCAGTAGCTTGATCTGGTGTGTCGTTTGGCTCACCGGCACATCTGTGCCCTCTAACGGCTGTAATGAAAGTGCCGCAATGAGCTGCTCCGTCGCATCTATTCCATCATGTCAGTAACCGGCATGTACACGGAGCCGTCAAGAAAGGGGAAACATACCTGCTATGCTCTTGATGCCAGACAATTGTAACGTCTCTTCCGCCTCCTCTCCCGCCGCACCCACTTGTTCCCATATGTGGTTGAAGTTGCCGGCAAATGTGGGGATCAGATAATCGCTGCCGGTAAGGTCAAAGTCTCCCACCTCGTATTCATCGTCGTATCCGGTCTCTTCAGGTTCATTGGTCGTGGGATCGATCTCCTTACTTGTGAACTTGAGCACGTTGGAGAACGAACTCGTAGGCATAGACCCTTCGCCGCCTGTCTTCTTGAACGCCACGTAAACCTTTCCAGGCTCATCCGTCGGGAGCTTCTCGGCAGGTAGAATGAAAACTTCCTCTAGCTCCTCCTCTTCCGACGGGGTAGCAACCACCGACACGTTTTCTAGAACCGTCGCCGGAAGGGTATTCTTCACTTCATACTGTAGAACGATATGCTCCTTGAACATGTGTTTCACCAGCGTCACAACATACTCGGTCTCGGACTCAGTAAGCTCAACGACAGATGACGACTTGAGAAGGCCACCAAACTCCTTCATATAGGGTATCTCCATAAGCTCCTCCGCATACTTCTGGGCTGCCGCAGCGGCTGAAGCTTGCGCCTCGGCTCCCGTCGATGCTGCCTTGGTCGGCCCTGTCTTGGGAGGCTTGAGTGACGGTATTGAGGCTGTGAGTTTCTTTGTCCTATCTTCTGCATCTGCTTGCTCCCGCGTGACAACAGGGATCTTGCTGATATCAAAGGGTGCGTCAAACGCAGACTTATCGTCTGAAGTCACATACATGACAAGTTGATGCTCGAAGTAAGGAAGGGAGAACATATTTTCTGACCATATTATTAGCAGAAGTCAAGCTGAGGATTGAAATGCTGCCCTTACCATTCTTGATAAAGCGTTCGCCCATATCATCTTCCTCGTGCATCAGTCTAAGATTAAGCGCCGCACGGTCGCGGACCTCGTCATCGACATCATCGAGACACCTGGTGAGTAGAACATCCACACTGC